CTTTAGATAGACAACGGCGACAAAAATAGAATGAGTGGGCCGATTTTAGTGTCATGTCAAGAGATATATAGGGAAGAGGTAGAGACAGGGGACCAGGGGACCAGGGGAACGGGGAGGGGAGGGCGGCGGTTGGTGGACGGTGGGGTAGACAGGAAGGGGAAGCATTTGATGGACGAAGGGATAGACAGAAAGGGGAAGCAGTTGATGGACGAAGGGATAGACAGAAAGGGGAAGCAGTTGATGGACGAAGGGATAGACAGAAAGAGGTTGCAGTTGATGGACGAAGGGATAGACAGAAAGAGGTTGCAGTTGATGGACAAAGGGATCGACAGAAAGGGGATGCAGTTGATAGACGGATGGATAGACAGAAAGGGGAAAGGAACAATGAAGGACAGGGGGAGAGGTACACATGAAAAGGGAAGCATTTGATGAACGGAGGGATAGACAGAAAAGGGCAACAGGTAATAGACGGAGAGATAGACAGAAAGGAGGAAAGGAAGCAGTGAAGGACAGTGAGAGGGAGAGATACACAGAAAGGGGAAAGCATTTGCAGGACTGAGAGACAGTTTTTAGTTTCTTAAGAGTTTTACGGCACTAATTGTAACACAAATAGGTCATGTAAGTGCCAAAGATTAAATGTGTTACTTAAGAGTGACACAAAAAAGGGAGGAGACAAAAAGACGATAGATCTTTGGTAGGAAAGAAGGAGCAAACCATACTAGAGCACCAGCCAGCCACCCACACAGAAGGATAGACAGAAAGGTTGGTTTTTTAAATAGTTTTTTGTAGGTTTTACGGCGCTCGCAACTGCATAAGATCATATGAGCGCCAGAAGATTAGAGGTATTACGAGGGCTGTCCCACGGAAAACAGGAATTTGGCTGTAATTTGAAAACTATTTAATATTTTCACATTCTGTAAACGCACACTTGCAAAACAATTATTTTGGAATTCCCTGATTGAGAACCATTGGCATTGTACTAACCAAACGAACACAGCAGTTCTCCAAAGAAGAAGTGAGATCTGTCATTCGGTTTCTGACCGCAAAAGGTCTCAAACCTACAGAAATACACACTGAAATAAAGTCAGTTTACGGGGAGAAAGTAATGGCAAAGTCACGGGTGTATGTGTGGTGTAGTAAGTTCAAAGCCGGTCATACGGATGTCAATGACAAAGATCACCCAGGACCTTGTTTTTCTGCCAAGACTGAGGACAACAAGAGTAGCGTTAACGAACTCATTCAAACAAACAAGCGCCTAAAAATTCCCGACATTTCCGAGTCGCTAAACATTTCAAAGTCGACTGTCCATAGGATAGTGTTTGATGAGTTGCACTATCGAAAGGTCTCTGC